TAGTAATATAGATCTGTTCATTTACTTCTTGATTTTCTCATCAGATTGCTGCTTGTCGTTCTCCAGATCCATTATGGACTCCTGGGCCAGTTTCAGATCTCCTTCAAGCTTTCTCTTGGCTCTCTCAAGGTCCATGCGGAGCTTTTTCTCTTGTTCCAGTGAGCCTTCAAGCTATGCAATTATAGTAATAAATGTTAAGCATTAATATAATAAGTAATGATTACTGACTCATGCTAAGCCCCAAAGTTAAAGACCTATTTTCTTACATCATCCACTTGCTGTTCCAGCTTTGTCTTGGCCTTTGTCAGAGTGTTGACTTTGTCTTCCTCTGCCTGGAGATCATCCAGTGTTTGTTGATGAGCCTCTTGGAGAGCTTTCTTCTCTTTGGTCAGCTTAGCAATGGCCTCATCCTGAGTAGCCATYTCCTCTGTCAGATTTTTCACCTAAGATTTCATGAAAAACACACAGAAATACATTAGTATACATTAATATCACTAAATGTACATATGGTAGTCATAATAGTGCTTGTATCCAGTACAAACCTTGTTTTCAGTGGCATGCTTCTCCTTCTCCACTTTGGCCAAGGTGAGCTCTAAGTCATCAATGTCCTTCTTCAGCTCAGAGCATTCATCCTCCAGCTTCCTCTTCTTGGCAGTCAGCTCAGCATTGATTTCCTCTTCATCCTCCAGTCTCTCACTTGTCTCCTTGAGTTTGGCCTCGAGCTGGATCTTGCTCTTGATGAGTCCCTCACACCTTTCCTCAGCATCCCCCAGGTTCTCAACTTCCTTTTATTTTTTGTTAATTATAAATAAAATGAATGAAATTCATTTAAGATTGTAATAAAATCTGATTATTTAGATTTTCAACATTTTTTATGGCACATGCATAATGAAAAAACACAACAGGTGCAAAATGTATACAACCTAATATGTGAAACTGGGAATTTTTTTTATTCTGAAGTAAACTGTAACATTGATCATTTCTGAAGAAAACTGTAAAGTAATCAAAAGAGAAACATWTAAAGTAAAACTAAAATATGGAAGCCTTTTGTCTACTTACAGCAGCCACTTGGAGCTGCAAGTCATTCTTCTCCTGCAGCAGGGAAACCATTTTCTCCTCCAGTTCCTTCTTTTTGGCCAAAGCAGTAGCCAGGTCTGTTTTCATCTTCTCATAATTCTCCTTCATATTCTGCAGCTCTTTCTCAGTCTCAGCACTCTTCAGAAGAGGCTTGATCTTGAAGTAAAGTTTCAGCCATGGCCAGTTCTTCACATTCATGAATGAGCGAATGTTGTACTGGATTGCGAAAATAGACTCTCTAAATAGGAAAATATAAGGCCATTGTTACTTTTTCTGAAAAAAACAACAACATATTGTTATAAACCATTTCAACACTGTTATMCATATGATGTGATATGAGTCATTTTACCTCCTCTCCATCATCTTGACAAATTCCTTCCTCATCACATAACCTCTGGAAAGAGCCTGAGTCATGGTCACCAGCTCAGCCAGTTTCTCATCTCTCATCTCCTCAAGAGTACCCAGCAGACCAGCTTTGAAGAATACCTACGATGTCACACCAATAGCATTGACTGTCATTACACAAGAAAACCACACTGTGTACCATTTTCCAAGAATTGCTGATAATTATTAAGTTTAAATGTACCTTTGTGTGTCCAAACTTGTACTGYGTGTGGTCTACATCAATGGAGCCCAGTAGCTTCTCTGAGGCTTTTTTGTTGTCAATAAACTGTCCCTCAGGAATGACACTGGCATTCAGTACTTTGTATCTGGAAACAATTAAAAATGTTTTAATTATATTTTCCTAATATTGGCCTCGTAAATTTACTACCACTTATAAATAATGAAAACAGTTTTCACCTCTGCTTGAAGTCACCATAGAGGATTCTGCTTGGGAATCCCTTTCTGCAGATTCTGATGCCCTCCAGCACACCGTTACACCTCAGCTGATGGATGACCAAGAAGTTCTCCATAAGACCTGGTTGTTGAACATATAAATGTGTTTAATTAGAATATATGCCCCTGTCATTATGTCTTTTGTTTTTCAACAATTAGGTCAGTGGACTTTATACCTGGGGTCTTTGATTCATTGGGGATCAGGCAACGCACAAARTGAGGATGKGTGCTCCTCAAGTTGGTCATCAGTTTGCCCAGATTTTCCTGTGGATCACCATCATGAAATATTTTAGCATCATTTGAACATTATGTTCTCACTGGTTTCCAAAGGCTACAAAAGTTTAAATACCCTGAAAAGAGCAGACACAGTCTGGAAGGAACCACCCTTCTTCTTACCACCCTTCTTTCCACCACCACCTTCAGCTGTTTAAATAAAGATTACATTTCATAATTTTGCTATTCAATGAATTCATTATACAGTGTATCTATGATGTTTTGCAGTCAAAAGACAACTGTCTAAACATCCAGTAATTTTACAAATGTAATGCATGCTATAAATATGACTATCAATTTAGCTTTTTGTTTTTTCTTTTTTTAACAACTACAAAGTAATCTTGCTTCTTACCTTCAGCTGCGGCATGAGCAATATATAGAAGACACAATAGTTTGTTGGAAGACTTCTGGTAGAGCTGAACAACTGAGTCGTTCAGTGGGTCCTTGTTCTTGTCCAGCCAGCCAGTGATGTTGTAGTCCACTGTACCAGCATAGTGAACCAGGGAGAAGTGAGCCTCAGCTTTGCCCTTGGCAGGCTTTGGCTTCTCAAAGGCCTTGGTCTTGCCAAGATGYTGATCAATCAGCTTGTTCTTGAAAGTTGTATCAGAGGCCTTGGGGAACATGCACTCCTCTTCAAGGATGGAGAAGATGCCCATTGGCTGGGAACAAATGACATAATTGATTGTCAAAATTATGTTAAAACAAAGTTACATAAATTTTTATACATGTATGGTAGACATAACACTGTTCAAGCTTTACAGCTACTTACCTTCTCAATAAGCTCAATGCAGGCAGCCAAGTCCATACCGAAGTCAATGAACTCCCACTCAATACCCTCCTTCTTGTACTCCTCTTGTTCCAGCACAAACATGTGATGGTTGAAGAACTGTTGCAGTTTCTCATTGGTGAAGTTGATGCAGAGCTGCTCCAAGCTGTTGAACTGTAATTATAGAAAGTTTTTTTTAATCTTATGACAAAAAATTAGTGATCTTAAAACTACTGAGATCATTTTAAACTACTCACATCAAAGATCTCAAATCCAGCAATGTCCAACACTCCAATGAAGAATGTTCTTGGCTGCTTTGTGTCCAACATCTCATTGATACGGATGACCATCCACAAGAACATTTTCTCATAGACAGACTTGCATAAAGCCATGACAGCATTGTTTACCTAGAAGAAGAAGTTATAGTTAAGTCGTTTTTTTATTTAGCCCATTTACAAAAACATACGTTGACCAAATTTTTTACCAAATAACTTGTAACATTTTGAGATGGAAAACATACAGATTGAATTACCTGTGGGACGGTCTGACCTTTGGTGACCATCTCATTTCCRACTTTGACTCTTGGGTAGCACAGAGCTTTCAGCATATCAGCTGAGTTCAGTCCAAAAAGGTAGGCGATTTTATCAGCCACTATTTAAAAGAAAAACACATTGGAAAATACATCAGTTTTCAGCTAATCTTACACATTAGCAAACTTAAACAATAACATTAACAGTTTTCAATTTGTTACCCTCAGTGCCGTCTGGTTCAGCCTGCTCCTCACGCTGCTTCTGCTTGAATTTCATGTTKCCATGATGCATCACAGCACCAGTCAGCTTGTAGATGTTGATTTTCTCATCAGCAGTGAAGCCCAAGATGTCAATTGCCGTCTACAATAAAATAATAAGCCAATTATCAGTGTGTTAGCATTCAGTTTTTTTCTATTCAGTTAGATTTAAACCTAATAACATACATCTGTTGCAATGAACTCCTCCACATCATTGATGCTCTTGACTGTCACCTCACCCTGACTAATCATGGGATAATCAAAAGGGTTTGTAGTGATCAGCAGAGCCTCTGCAAAGAATTAGATGAAAAAGCTATTATGTAGATGATACTGTTTTATTGTAAATAAAATAATTTTCCGAATTTGTCTTTCGACATACCCAAAAGCTCAGGCTTGTGGCCTGTCATGAGCTGATAGAAGATATGGTAGCTCCTTTCAGCWGACAGCTGGAAGGTGACACGRGACTTCTCCAGCAGATCTGTAAGAAATTATTAATAATACAGTTTGGTAGATTATTTCTTAGCTGTAAAAATRGTTTTTGGCAATAAATCTTATACTGGGCATCTGATTGGCAGCACCTGGGGGTACCAGAAGCTCAAAACAACWGTTAATAGCAACAAATAATGTACTGTTTTGCAACGGCAGAGAAGATATGGCAACATTTTCATGTGTGCACCTACATGCTCCACTGCTCATGCCTCAAATGCATGCTCCTTAYAAATGTGGAACCATTAAAATGGGAATTCAGCAGGCTTTCCAATGGTATGGGCTTTATTGCCAAGAAGCGGTATTACAACAAAGAAATATTCTAACAAATTTCCTTACTTTAAATAAGATATACGTACGTACATACATACATACATACATACATACATACATACATACATACATACATACATACATACATACATACAT